TAGGCACCCAAATCAGACAAGCTCAGGACCAACAGAAGAGACAAGCAGACAAACGACGACGCCCTATTGACTTTGATGTGGGTGACAGGGTGTGGCTATCACTTCGCCATTACCATACAGATCGACCAAACAAGAAGCTTGATAGCCAAATGGCTGGACCTTTCCCGGTCCTTGAGAAAGTCGGCAACTCATACAAATTGGAGCTCCCTGAGAGTATGAGAATTCATCCTGTGTTTTCACCTGACAAGCTACGACGAGCAGCAGATGATCCATTGCCAGGACAGGTTGTAGAACCTCCTGAACCATTAGTCATTGGTGATGAGCATGAATGGGAAGTGGAAGAAATCCTAGCCTCCCACGTATGTCGACATCGATTACAGTATCAGGTGAAATGGACAGGATTTGATGAGGATCGGACGTGGTACCCAGCTGCCAACTTCAAAGGCTCTCCACATCGCATACGCGACTATCACCAGAGATACCCAGAGCAGCCAGGACCACCTCAGCGTCTACATGAATGGATACGAGCATGGGAAGATGAGGCCGAGGAACTGGAAGACCACCCTGATGACAACCTACCTGCGTGAGTCTGAGGACAGACTCCGCCTAAGGAGGGGGGTTATGTGACGACTCATATATGACGGCTCATATATGACGGCTCAACACTGCAGCAATGAATGATACATCGCAAATGCTGCTACTCAACCATGTCGGCAACAACCTCTATAAAACCCCTTCATTACCTAGATAGACTTCCTCTTCTCTTTTCTTCTCCAGATTCGATATTCTCGTCGATGGCTACAATAGTCTAGATAGGAATTCAATTCGTTATTATCTACTATTCCGAGCCCGTGACAGTAAGGTAGTCAACAGGTAGAATCGGTAAAGGTAACGAATAGAGAAACAAGGCCAACCGAGCACGTATGCTGGGTGTTAGGGGTTTAACTCAAGTTGTCTTAACCTAAAGCTACCCTTTACTATACAAGAAGGAATCGTTGAAGAGGTAACAAACAGGGCAGAGGTGGGAGCAGTCTTTTATGGTCGTACGGGAATGAGATTCCAAATAGTGTTCTCGGAGGTCAGGAGTTGACCGAAAAGGTCACCGATAGTCTTCATGTAAGGGGATCGTACGAAGGTCGTCAATAGTCGTTTCGGTCCCCTTGCTGGCTGCGTTCTGTGCTGGCCTTAGCCAAACTGTCATCCTTTGGGTTCGTACGAGAACCCCATAACAGGCCCTACCAAAACCAGGAAAGAGAGACCGGAGCTCCCCCCGAGCTTACAGACTAATCTCTCTCCTGTCAGTTTAGGGAAAAGGCCTCGAGCGCCTAATAGCCCGCAGAATAGCATGGATTGCTATCAAATACAAAGTCCTCCACCCTCAGCAATTCGGAGCTCTCCCACTGCGTTCTGCTACGGACCTAGCCGCAGCTTTGATCCATGATGTTGAGGAGGCATGGTCACGAGGGCTGAAAGCCTCCATGCTGACATTGGACGTGCAAGGCGCTTTTGATGCTGTCCTGCGTGGACGACTGATCCAACAGCTCCAGGAACAGGGATGGCCTATCAATGTGATCCGATGGGTAGCTAGCTTTACCCAAGGTCGAACAGCCAGTCTCCGCTTAGGGAACCATACAAGCCGGACATTCCAGGTTCCAGCAGGTCTTCCACAGGGCTCCCCTATCTCCCCGATCCTCTTCATGCTATTCATTGAACCCATTTTCAAACAGGGCTCATTTCGCACCCGACGCGGCCGCTTTGGGTATGCTGATGATATTTGCCAACTTGTGGCCTCCCCTTCCTTAGAGGAAAACTGTATAGCACTTCAGCACTGTATTGAGGAGCTCAGACAATGGGGAGCTAGAGAAGGCCTCACCTTTGACTTCAACAAGACAGAACTGCAACACTTCACCCGTGGGTCCAACCTTTCTAACCCCACATGCTCCATGCACACCCCCCAAGGCTTGCATATTGTCACACCTCCCCCTGCTAGCAGTGCTACGCGCTGGCTAGGCATCTGGTTTGATCGCAGACTGAGCTTCAGAAAACACTGCAGGACTCTGGCCGCAAAGGCAATGCAGTCAGCTGCTGGCATCAGATCACTAGTCAATACAGTTAGAGGGACTAGGGCAAACCTATTGCGGCAGGCTACAGTTACCTGTGTCATCTCAGTCCTTTGCTACGGAGCTGAGGCCTGGTGTCGGGGCCGAAGCAGGCCTAAGCCCAGGAACCAAGGCTCCATATCAAATCAAGTTGACTCCGCCCTTTCCTGCCTGGACCGGGTACTCAGAGTTGCTCTCTGAGGGACTCTCCCAGTATACCGAACCACCCCAATCCCATCACTCCACCGAGAAACTGCCATCCCCCCGATGGAGATCATCCTCAACCAGAAGCGTTCTTCGGCCAGACTGCGTGCTTCTAGACTGGACAATCGCCATCCAGTTTTCAGACGCTTACATCGAACACAATCTTTCCCTTCAAACACACGCCTAACCCATAATCACCTGCCATGGTTGGAAGAGGTAGAACAGACTGACCCTCTGGCCTACCCACCCTGGCAGGATGAGAACCCCAACACTGTCCAAAGTATCTGTCCTTCCCGAGAAAGGGCTGGGGTGACCTTCCAACAATGGGCTGATACATGCCCTCCTCTCTCCATGTTCCTTTTCTCTGATGGCAGCCGCTTGAGTAACTCTGATGCTTCAACCAGTGCTGGTTGGTATGGACACTGGGGAGCACAGAAGCTAGAATGTACCCGTGGGCACCTCTGCCTCCCCAAGCATGAAGTCTTCGATGCAGAGGCTACTGCAGCATCTGCAGGACTGAAGGCTGCCCTTAATAGTACCCAGGCCTCCTTTACACAGAACCTATACATCCTCCTCGACAATCAAGAAGTGGTACGCCAACTGCAAGGCTGTCCCAAAGGCTCTAGCCAGAGCCTCATCCTATCTTTCCAAGAAACTGCAAATGCCTGGCCCAATCGATTCCACCGATGCCGGGCTATCCCACCGGGACAAGTGCATGTTCGCTGGATTCCTGATCATGCCGGCATCGCAGGGAATGAGCAGGCAGATGAACAAGCAAAGAAGGGAGCTAGGTCTACCCCTCAGACCAACACTCCCCCAGCAAGATATGCCTGGGCTCACCGGACTCTGAAAGAGGCCTTCTGGCGACAATTCCAGTTATACTGGACCGAGAACGCGCCACAGCAATATCATGATCTCTCCATCGGCCTAGATAAACGACCTCACGAACTATCCCTCCCCAGGGCCACCCTTGGTCGACTTCTCGCTGCCCGGTCAGGCCATGGAGACTTTGCCCAGTACCATGAACGCTTTGGGCATGAAGACGCCAAGTTGGACTGCTCATGCGGGCGCCCAAAGACCCCCCATCACTTCTACTACTGCCGGAAAGGACACAATGCATCCCCACATCCATGGGGAAGTCGACAAGTGGATGAGATCCTGTGCTCTAAGTCAGGAACAAGGGACTTCCATGAATGGCTGCAGAGGTCTCACTTTTATAGCACAATATGTCGCGCACATTAACCCCTCAGCCCCCTCCACCCCCCCTAAAATCGTCTCCCCTCTTCCTTATATCTCTTCTTCTCTCTATCTCTTCTTCTCTCTTCTCCACAGAATGTGTACTCCCGCTTTGCGGCCCCCAAGTTATGGGCAAGCTCCTGCGAGGGAGTCTTCGCCAGTGTGTATGATAGATTTAGCTTAGCTACCAGATAGGCGGTTTTACGCTCCGCCCGTCATATGTTCCGTTTCG